ATGTAATTTCCATTTTCTTTTGTTGCATTGCTAGAAATGGACAGTGAGTAGATATAATAGATGTATGTGCACGAACTCTTTGATGAACATCAACATCTTTCATTTTTGAAAAATTTTTTTGTTGGTGAGAATAAAATGAAAATCACATGTGCTGCAATTGAATAATAATAATAAATAATATACATATAAATATTTATTTGAAAAACTTCCAATTCATTAAATTGGCTTTGATATATCTTGATGGTATTGCAAGTATATAAATCCAATCATCTGTATGAAAAAAAGAACGTCACTATTCAACACCTTTACTATTATAAGAATGACCCCAAACTGCATGTTTATGATTTCTATTACGTATGTTAAATATAAAACTTATATAGTATACTTAGGTATCCAATTTCCACTTCTTCCTCCATTCCAATCAAGTGGATTATAACCACCAACCATTTGCTCTGAATTCTGTATTTTACCAACTACAAGGGTTTTGTTGATGTTATCACATTTTTGGTAATTGTCTTGTTTGTAGAGGAAGGTTGGGGTGTTTCAGTAGATGTATCTTCACTATAAAACGCATCCAATATGACATTTAATATTTTAAATTTCTTATTCACAAAATACTCAAATTGTAATGATATTTATTGAGAGAAAAACATAAATAAATCATATAAAAATATGTTCTATGAAATAAATAATAAATAAAATAAATGTACAAGGTTGAAAATTATTTTGGAGCCCAATTATAATTAACCAAATAATTAAGTTGCCTTTTTTTGCTATCAAACTGCTTTTTTGCATGTTTAGCTTGAACCTCTTTACGTTTTGCTGAATTATTTTCCCATTCATTTAACAATTTTTTCTCTTTACTATTAAATCCAATACATCTCTTTATTGCCAACTTAATCTGATGTGGCTCACTAAGTTCGTAAACATTCTCCAACAACCATCTTATTTGCTCAATATGTTGCAATTTTGCTGCTAATGATAATACTGTGTTATTTTCTTTATCGATTGCTGTCATATTCACATTCTTATCAACCAACAGCTCTAAACAAGTGCCTGGCCAATTAGATCTAATTGCTAAAAATAATGAGTTCGGTGCATGGAAATGATCGCCTGATAATGTGTTGTTGACATCAGTTGGCAGGTTTGGATCTGCTTTATTTTTCAATAAGGCATTTATTATTGGTATTTTGAGATTGTGTTCATGGGATTCTTCCAAATAATAAGACAACACTGTTCTTGATTTGATATCCAGTGCATTGACATCGCACCCCAACTTTGTCAAAATATTAATTGCCCGAATAACATATTTGCTTGCAATACTATCTTTAGAAGGTTTCTTCATCATATTGATGTTTTCAGATAACATGTGTAAAGCAGTTTTGAGTGTTTTGGTTGAAGTTACATGAAAATCTGCATTACAATGCTTCAAACATTCAAACATCTTGATAATGCTCCTTCTTGGACAATACCTGGATGTGATGATTACTAGTTTTTCTTTTTTTAGGTCCATGAAATCATACATGTCTTCTATACCGGATCCTTGCTGAATATGCCACAGTAAACCTTCAGTATCACCTAATGCTGCATGTATGCCTGCATGACATTTGTCCGGTTTTTTGTGATATTGCATGCCTAAATCTTTTAATGTTGCATCACAAGTATTCTTGCAAATAACATCTGTTTTGTACATGGTATTTTGTATTTGTAAGTATGAATTGATTATTAATCAACCAAAATAAATAAATCAATGATTGATTGATTGATTGATTGATTGATTGATTGATTGATTAAATTAATAGTTAATGAAATGAATTCATTTTTACATAAAAAAAAAAACATACTTTGTTGAGATGAGAGAATAATATTTGTTTCAGAACTTTTGGTGGACTCTGTCGCAGCAGTTGCAGGTGTTGATGGTGATAAATTCAAAGTTTGTTGTTTATCAGGAAGTAAATAATAATCTAAAAGATTTTCCCGTAAATCCTTTGGAAAAAGTTTCTTAAAAGGCAAAATTTTGTAACGAAAATCCTCATTAGAGATATCCTGGAATCGAATCAAAGAAATTAGTTCTTTTAAAGTATTTCCTAAATCAGCAAAATTTTGTTTTGTCCAAAGATTAACATGATTAATATCATTAATTTCTGGATGTTTGGCTAGTCCCCATTTAAGAATACTTTCCCAAATAATTGTTCTATCAACATAAAAATCATCTCTTTCAAATATAGCTAATAAAATTGATTTTTCCAATAATTCAAATTCACTTGACCCAAATAAATTATCACTAGAATCACAAAATTTTTTAAGATAAATATTTTTCAATTCCTTAAATTTTTCTCCATTAGAGTAGATTGATCTTAGAACTTTAATTGTATTTTCTTTAATGTAATTCTCATGATTTTTAATAAAGTACTTTAATGTGTGTTTGTAAAATGGTTCAAGGCCAAACTCATCAGCTGAAATCAATAATTGCAATACATCTGCTCCATTAAACTCATCTAATTCAATTTTACAAGTATATAAAAACCTTTTAAATATAAAACAATAACAATATTATTGATATTATCATTAAATTAAAAAAATAAACAAATGGTAAAGTCATTATTAACAATATAATAAACCTACTTTAGTATTGTCTTAAAGGCCAATTCATTAAAATTTGCTTTCTGAATAATATAATATCCATTTTCTTTTTTTGCATTCATTAATGCATCTCGAAAAAAAGGACAATGAGCGCATATAATTGATGAATGTGCATGAACTTCTTTAATATTTGGTTCTATACCAACACAAATTTTTACATCATAGAAATCTTCTGTATTTAATAATTTTTCATTTTCATTAAAATAAATTTCAAAGTTAGTTGAATCCATTTTTAAATTAATCGTTTAGAATTCCTTTTTTTTTTGAATTGATCACCATTATTTAAATGCGGTATCACCTTGACGGGACGATTCAATTACATTCCTTAACGAGACTTTAGCAGAGAATATGCAAGCAAGCCTTTTTATATTCAGTGTAAGAAAGAAACTAGTTAGTGCTACGCTGCGTTATCCTTTTTTGTTTAGAGAGTGATAATCATTCGCTGATTATTTTTTTTTTGAACCTCTTTTTAGAAATCTGAGGTTTTTACAAGTTTCAAATCATTTCTTCTCCACTTTGCTTAAATGAGCTTTAAAAATCTCTGCCTTTCAAGCCTAATTGTGATAAATTTCAAAAAAAAGAAATTATTCATTTATGTGATAAACGTCTCTTATCATTTATCATACAAACAATAAACTCATTTTTCCAAGCAAATAGATATTTGTTTGGTTTTAATGGTTGGTTAACATGATAAAGATCATTACTTTTTTTTTTTGATTATATACCAAATTTACAACTGAGAATGCAACGTGTTTTTTTATTTTATTTATTGTCATCACTATTTTATTAAATTCGAAACATATATATAAATACGCTTACCCGCATTTTTTCATGAGCCTTCTCATCCACAACAACCCGTTTCAACCCTTCCACCCATTATCATCTAATAAAAAATGGAAAATAAAGAATAAATAAATAAAAATCAGTAATAAAAGAGCCAAAGATTGATTTTCATGCAAAATTACATATTAATATAATAATAATAATAACTAAAGGACGCGTTTATGATAATTAATGCTTCACTGGAATTTGAATTAACAATTTCTTTGAACCAATCGATTGTTTATGACTAAAGTTTTCTTGCACTTATTATTTATGGTAATAATCTAAATTAAAGTTCTGACTTTCACGCCAAAAAAAAATTAAAATTTATTATACCCAAAGTAATGATGATTAATTGCAACTAAATGAGCCAACTCTTTTTAAATTAAATAATAGCAGACGTTACACTTACATTTATCTCATTAGAAAAATTTAACTAGCTGATTTGTAAAAAATTACCTCTCGGTGAAGAGATCTTTGGCCCATTTGTTTCAGCTGCAGCAGACACGATCAACCACAACATTCTCAATCAGAATCAAAGTAAAGATTTTCACTTCAACTACCACACAAACCTCTCCAAGCATTTCATTCTACAAAAAGATGCAAAAGTGATGTTTCTCAACAACAAGTTGCTTGATCATGGAATTTGCGATGGGACAATCGACGTGATAACCAAAATGACTGATCTTCAAATGTCAAAGTGGCCTTTCTGACAACTCGCAATATCACAAAGGTGACTATGCAAAAAGAAACCACTTACTTTGATATCAATGGAAGCCTGCATCAAGGTGACAATTTCCTCTATAGAATGAATTCGCTTTTATCATGCACAAAATCCAAGGGATTGACATTACCACATACAACCGTCAACATCGATGAAAATATGTTTGTGTCTGGTCAAGTATATGTAGCTATGAGCAAAGTATAGTCTTGAGGTTTCAACATTTCTTGTATAAAAACTGATCAATCCGTGATTCAAGAGAGCAAAGCCACAAGATGAACATATTAATTGTGAACCTATGTGTACTTTAATAATTTGGGATGTCAAAATAATTTCCATAAATTTCGAATATTATGCCCCAACTTTAATTTGTGCATTTGGATACCATAATTTACAAATGATTTGGACTTTAGAATTTGTACAGCATGTATTAGAAAAAAGCGGACTTCACAACTTGCAATGTGCCGTATCTGCAAGCATGATTTTAAGCTAAAGGGCCGGCTAAGAATTTAATAAACCCCAGTTGATGAAAAACCTTTTCAGATGGTACTAAGCTGCCGGTATTATTATTACTTATTATCCCTTAAACGAAATTGCAGCCAAATTTGGCCGCAATTTTTAAAAAAATGTAGACCCCTACTAAACAAAAAAATTACTAACTGACTTCCATTTTTTTTTTTTTTTTGACTTTAGATGGAAAAGGCCATAAAATTTATGTATAAATATTCATTTTTAATAAATTAATTTCTTTTACTAGTACCGAAATAAATGTATTTTTTTAAAAAAATTAATTTTGGATTTTTGAAAAGTTGGCCTAATTAACAAGTTTACTTAGATATAAATTACTACATAAGATCGTGTAACCAAATTAAATAACAAATAAAAAAATGAATAAAATAATTAACGAAACATTAACTTTCTCTTCTTAGCAATTTCAGATAACTCATTGTCATAAAGCCCGCCCCACCTTCTTGTATTACTAGCAATATAATATCCATCATCAGAGTCAAGAATATTAGCATTTTGTTCTGGGTTCATTTTGATTTTTGTTATTAAAAAGTAGTTGTTTCGGGAAATTAAAATTAATTGTTAAATTTAAAATTGTTTGATTTTTATTGGAATATTTGGTTTAGTTTACTTGTCTGAAGTCTCTTACGCTTCTGGCACTTATAATAAATTTGGATCAAGTTTTTTTTAGCATGAATTCATTAAAGGATTTGGATTTACAAACTCAGGAGTTTTCAATTCCGCATGTAGTATTAATTCCATAATTTATTATGTCTATTTTCCAAAACACAAAAACATCAATAAAAATAAGCAGTTAATTAACAATAATGATTTTAGAAATGTCCTTTAATTAGTATTTCATAGGATTTCAAATTCCGTCGGAATTTTGATTATAATAAAATGATCAGCAAAGAAAATTTCAAAGGAACTTTTATGTTTTACACATTATTATTTCTTTATTTGTAATATGTAACCCAAACGAAATTTTTATAATAAAAGTAGGGTGTTTTGAATATCATTTTATCAAATAAGAAAGGTTGTGGCGAGACCGCAGGAAAATACCCTTTTTTTGTAATTTTTGATCACAATTGCAAATTGCGGCCAGATTTGACCGCGATTTCGTTTAAGGGATAATATCTCGCCTTTAATGATTCAAATGATTTGTTTTATTCGTTATGAATTTGAGTATTCGAATTACATTGAAAGTTTTATTCGAATAAACGAATAAAATGAATAATTCGAATATAACAAATAATTCGAATAGAACGAATAATTTGAATATATAGAACGAATAATTCGAATAGAACGAATAATAATAATTCGAATTAAAATAAGAATTTGTATTACGAATAGAAACTCTATGACTTTTATCTTGCTATGATGTATTGTATTTTGCTTTTTGAGTAAATGTATATATTAAATGTCTATGCCATTGAAATTCTGCACTAAATTCCAGACGTAAAAAATGAATATAAAGAGAAATTTTTTTTAGCCAGCTAAACCGTTTAAAAATTCCTTAATCAGCTAGGCCAATAAATTCCTTAGCCGGCTAACATCACTAATAATTATAAAAAGCTTTTGCGTAAAAGTTTCATTCGATAATAATTATACACTAAAATTAGTTGATTTATTATTAATATTAGAAATTTCCGGGTAATGAGTGAATTTGTATTCAGCAAAAGAAAAATTTAGCTCTTTGAGAAACAATGAAAATATAAAAAAGAATATACATTTGTGTTTTTTTTAAAACAAATTCACTGCATTAAGTAAAAACCTTTTTTTTTTTGGTGGTTATGTTCACATATTACGAAATTGAGGTTTTAATATGTCCTTTAAACTGACTGTCAAGAAATGCTATTATCCCTTAAACGAACAGAAATTTGGACCAAAATTTTAAAATTTTGTAGACCCCAAGGTGAAAAATTTACTATTTAACCCTCATTTTTTTTTTGATTTTTAAATAGAAGATGACTTATTCTACATGTAAATCATCTCATTTATTTTTTTCATGAGAGAGATAAGAGTTTTTTATTAATATGAAAAAAACGCATTTTAAAAAAAAATCCAAATTTTAAATTTTTTTAAAAAGTTACTATTTGAAAAAATTTTTAACTAGTCCAAACCCGTAAACTATGTAACAATACTCAAATTTAGAAACTATCTGCAGAAAACTACTGTTACACCTGCACATTGATTTTTATTATACACTGATTAGGAAAAAGTTAAATTGAGAATACAGGTTTTTAGTTTTTATTTGCGTAGTCATTAATAATGAATTAACAAATAAGTCAACAATGACATTTTACAAAACAATCAATTCCCTTTTTGAAGATAACATAAGGCAACATTACACAAAGTACAGAAGTACAGATTTCTACAAATTTACTCGCGTCATTTTTAAACAATCGTACGATGGAATTCGGAGATTCTTTGTTATTTCCAGAAATTTTGTGAAAACTTACAATATAATGAATGACCTTTTTTTATTTTGAGAAGAAGGTTTTTTAAATAGTTGTATTACAAAACTTTTATTTGTTGTAAAATATCTTAATTCAAATTTTGGTTTGTATCAAGTTTTTTTAATTTTTAAAGTGGCTTTGATGAGAAATTACCTTTTAAATCGATACTTTAAATATTTCATAATCCGAACTATGCGGAATTAATAAATTTATTTATTTATTTCCCTCGCCATTATATTCGCAAAACCGGTTTTAATCAACTTTTACTTTTCAAACTCCGTAAGCGTAAAGATGTTAGATCCTAATTTAGTAATAATTGTCTTGATTTAGACAGTTTCATTTGAATTGCGCAGTTACGCCCAATTCCAAATACATGATGTAATTTTTCCAATCGAAGCATCTATAATTCAAAAAAACCATTATAAAAGAAACGTATTTTCAAACTTTTTATTTATCATCCATCTTTACAAAATCAAAATCATAATTATCAAAATAAAAATCAAAAAATACTTTTCGACCTCCATTCTTTTCAAATATCATATTATAAAAAATGTTTAAAAATTTAAAAAACCAAATCTTACTTACATTTATCATATTCATGATAATTTCTACATCGCAAGTAAACGCAGGCTTACTTGCGTACGGGCTTTGTCAGACTGCGTGTAACGCGGCGTGGGTAAGCTGTTATGCAGCAGCTGGTATCGTGGCCGGTAAATATACACAACTTCTAATTAACATCCAATATTTATTTATTCTGTTTATTGATTATATTTGCATTGTTATTGTTATTATTATTATATAGGTGCAACGGGAGGGGCGGCTTTACCACCTGCAGCGATCGCTTGTAATGTAGCCCAAGGTGCATGCATGACCGTTTGCGCTGCCTGCTTTTTGGCACCAACTCCATAAAATTTTTAAATTTTTAAATTTTTTCTATTTTTTCTCTATATTTTTTTATTTTTTTATTTTTTTATTTTTTTATTTTTTTTATATTGTTTTTTATTTTATTTTTTTTATAATTATTTTTTATTTTTATTTTCCTTTTCCAATACGAGCGAATCAAATTAGTTCAATTTTGATAAAACAAAATTTCCTCAGTTCCGGGAATAGTAATTTTTGTTGTAATAACAATAAAAAGAAATATTAATATTAGTAATAGTTATTATAATTGAAAAAAAAATAAATAAATATTGATAATCTGATATAGAATTTTTTGCAATTTAAATCTTTATGGTTTTTAATTTCCTTGCGTAAATTGTTTTGTGAAATATTAAGAATATGTCATTTTTATCTTTAATTTTGATAATTTATTTAACGCTACTATCTTTGAATCCATGAAATTTCTTCTTGGTTATATATTAGCTTATATTTTATTAAAGTAACTACCACGAAAATGAGGTTTATTTACCGGTCACATGTCACCGTACTGTAGTGAATGTCATATCTATTCTCGACCCAGCCCATTGTCTCAATTTATTTTCAAACCATCAAGTGTTCTTAATCGCTCGCCATCATCTTCAGAAACGTACTTTTCGATTTCCTCCTCACAATCATCTATACATTTGCCTTCCTCAATCCATTTATGCAAAGCAGCAAGAATATTTATAACTACATTGGGTTACAAGGGATAAAAAACATTTCCATTTTTATAGATGATAACCATATATTAATATTAAGCATTTTTCTATATACAAACACTTTTGTTTTTGTAAGACAGTGAAAAAAAATCATAGAAACCAAAGAAAATCGTAAAGCGTATCCGCCGCCGAAAAATGTGATGGAGATTTTTTCATAGTTCCAATAATTAATTTGTATGGAGCTAAAAAAATTTTCCCGTATATTTTCTTTCAACTATTACGATACAATTATTATATAACAAATAATTGTTACTAATATTTCTTTGATTATTATTACATTTCATAAATGAAAAAGACCAAACCGCGCTCGAATTGTGAGTTCGAAACAAATGTCGACATTGATATGTGGGAGTTGGTTGTGTTAAATTGATGATTTTGTTTAACTACGCGTAATAGTTAAATTAATAATGGAATAAAACGCGTATTAAAAACGTAATGATTGTATACGAGAAAATTGCTTGTTACACGCTATCGCAAAGCCTTGGCTTGAGAACAAAATTTCGACTTATAATCCCATATTAAAAAACCATTCGTTGGTAAAGGCTTATTTAGCCTGATCCATTCAATTTATCAATTATTTCGCCATAATAATGGTTATAATAACAACAATAACAGTAATAATTGTCATAAACATCAATAAATACGAATTCAATAAATAGTAAATACATTTCAAAGTTTACTTTATTATTACTCATAGTATTCATTATACTTGTTACAAATTCATGTTTCTCGGGATTATGAAATATTATAAAAACCTACCAAAACGACCGCCACCAGCCACCAACAGGACAGTTCTTTTCGATAAACTGGAAGAACGTCAAAGAAACCAGTAATAAGAAAAGAAAACGGATGATCGAACAAAATTTGGAACCAGAAGAAAGGGAATATTAAAAATTCAATTCATAAATTAATGTTGGGATCATCCGGTGATCAAAGAAATGGGTATTAAAAGGAATTCAAAAGGGTATCGGTCCACAGTTCTACTTTTACTGAGAGAAAAGAGAAACTGACAAGAGAAAAGCAAGGAAGGATCAACTCTAGGCCAAGAGGATCGAAAGAAATACAAAAAAAAAATTTTTAAAAAGAAACGATGAAAAATGTGAACGAATAATAATATAACAATATAACAAATAATACAATGTAAAAACTTAGCTAATTTCCAAGAAAAGCCCATCCAACTAAATAAATAAGTACATAAAAATGTTAATAAAATGAAAATACAAGAAAATGACAACAAAATAATATAAAATAATCCCGAGAACATTTCAAAATTAAAGGAAAGAAGGAAAATTTTGATAACAACAAATTTCATGAGAAAAAAAAAAATAACATTTCAATAAATATCATATGTATATATATATATTAATGAAATGGTACTTTCTAGAAAGATCTGCTTTTTTTTTTTTTAATATATCTCTATATGGATACAGTCAGAACTAACTTGTTAAGACGATGTTTGATAAAACGAATATACATGATTACTTCGGTTTTAAAGAGTTCTGACCGTATTAGAAGGAATTTAGAGAGAGATTAGTACCAGTATTCCTTCTTTGATGGTAAAATTAACTGTTAAGGGCGTGTAAATTTTTAATTATTATTATATGGACAGTGAGTGAGTGAACTGTGTCCCAAAGGATTAATTGTCCTCGTGACTCAAATAGTAGGTTTAATCTTTGTGTCAATCAAAATGAGGGAAAAATAAGGAACTATGATTCACAACTTTATTTATGAACACCTAAATAAAAAAAAATCGAAAAATATTTAACGAAAATTAAACACTGATGTAAAAAAAATGTCTTGTGTAGAACCAAGCATCAAAAGAAGTTAATACACATGCATCCATTGTATCTTCTCATTGTCCATTTTTAGCAATGCATTAAATGATCAACAAAAGAAAGTGGATATCATATTGTCAAAATGTTTCAAACCCAAGTTATAAACTCGATAAGTCGGACGCACCAATCAATTGTTTAAAGCATTTGATGATATAAATAAATAAATGACCGACTTATCAAGTTTATTGATATTATATATACTAATACTAATATATATTTATGGATCACGGGAAATCAATAATTAAATCGGGAAATGATTTATAAAAGTTTCACGAAAAGAAATCGGAAAACATGCAAAGAATTCGAACCAGTCCAATTTGATAGTGTTGATCAATAATAATTAATTAACTCAAGGAAATTATCAAGATTATTCTAACATTCTAAATTGTATTTCTTTAAAATAATTCGTTCACTTTAAAAAGAACCTGGAATTGTTCTTAAAAGAAAGATCTTGTTTATTTTTAAGGAATACATTTAATTAGAACAAATTGAGAGTTCTTGGAAATTAGAGAACTAGATGATTGAACCTTTAACATGTATAAATAACGTTGTAACTTTCTTAACTTCATATGTCATTAACCTCATAATAATAATAAAAAAACCTTTAACAATAAATAATAAACTGTCCTTATCCTTGATCTTGCTGTGTCTTCGAATTTTATATTTTCATAATGATAGTAAATCTACCTCTAACAATGGATTCACCTTACTAGGCGGAGATCCTTTGCTAAACATAGTTGTATATATTTTTATTTCTTTTCCTTTTATTTTAGAAAAACAGACATTAGGAAGATGCCTAAGATCAGCAGAACCCAGGCCGAAAATATTAAAGTAAAGCTCGAGGCTAAGTATATTAAGATTTTGGACGTTTTTGACTCAAACAGATAATATAGAATATCTGCTGGGAAAAACATCATCAGGGGTAATAGAAATTATTTCTAGAAATTGCATTTTAAGATTAGAGTATTGAAATTTTGACTCGGACAATATAATAATAATAATTTATCTAGATTTCTATATACATGTAAAAATTGAATTTAAAATTATTCTGGAGCTGAAGTATTAGAACTATTAATTGCAACAGATCAACTTGGTATTGAGTCACTTTATGAATATATAATGAAATACCTTATTGAAAAATCCAGTCAAAATTCTACAATTGAAATTTTAAGGAATCAAAGAATATCTATTTAGAAAAGTTTTGCTTATGATTTTTTCTATTGAAAAGTCCGGTGTAACCTTAATAATAAATTTATGGAGTTTTTGGTAACCTACTTTTATAAGAACTAATTGCACTTCCATAATTGGATGCTTTTCTTTTGAACATCAGGATCTGTAAAATTGGAAAAACGTCAATCTATTATGTCATTGAAACTTAAAAGTTACACACTATAATGCAAAAATTAAAATTTATTATTACATTTGGAAATTACTTTACACGATCAACCTTCTTTTTGTTGAAGTGTAAGGACTCTCTACTAAATTCAAAATAAAATTTTATAGTATTATGATTTTTTCCTTAAAAAATAATCCCTCCAACTTGGTAAATTTACTTTCAAATTAACGTGTTGATCATTTTGGAAATTGCCACTTTTATACAATACGTTGATCAGATTGTGAAAGCCTCGGGAACTTTTGATTCAACATCACCATCTATCAGCACTACTATATAACCACCTATAAATGCTCGATAGAATGATATTTCTTTGTTGACAATAATATTTGATTTTGCAAATAAATCTCCAGTGTTCCTTGACCACCATAAGGTGCATCACCTTTGTCTAATTAATCTGATTTTTGTTCCATCCTCAACACCTATAATTTATCGAGACAAATACAAATTACTAATTAGTTAGTTTGATTGATTAATTGCAAAATTTGAATATTTTACCAGCAGAAATATCAATAGTAATAGGTTTTTTTTCTTTTACTTGACCTATAACAGAACATGTCGAACATCTATTTCCGGATGATATTTTTGTATTACAAGAAGGACAGGTTGTTTGTATATGAAACCCTGATGCTATAACAATATATTGGACACCAGACCCTTTACATGCTTTACAGGTTTCCACCTTTTGTATCGAGTCCATTCATTATACACTTTGCAATTAGCTATTGTTTCTATAGCAACAGTTTATTTGGCTCCTTTCGCCGATTCCATAAAAGTTATATTTTTGATAACGATATTATTAATTTAATTTAATTATATATATATATATATATTGTGATTGATATAAAAATAATGACGCTAAGAATAAAAGACACTCCAATATCAGATCCACTTGTATAAGGTTGTCCGGAACCCGTTTTAACTTTTGGACTGTCAAATCCACCGTCAAATATATTGCTAAACAACACTTTACTAAATCCAAAAAATTCACCATAACTTGCATCACTGCCACCAGGAAATCCACATGTGCCTGTTGGACCTCCTTCTTCGTTTCGTTATTATTATTGTAATTTTTTAGGTAAAAAATTTTAATATATTAATAAACTTGTATAGAATACCTCACGTGCTGCGCCCGTTTATCAGACTGTACACGTTTTTCTTCGTCACATAATATCAAATAGTCGATCTTTGATTTTTCACTCTTTCATTACTATCCTAGTTATTTACATCGTAAGCTTCTTGAATTTGTACAAATATTTCTTTTTCTGCTGGATCTTTATTAATATCAGGGTGATACTTTTTTGCAAGCTAAGATTCACAAAATATGAAACAAAGTAGCTAATATGTGTGTATATATAATAAATATATTTAAACACATATATAATATATATATATATAACATACTGCATGATATGCTTTCTTTATACCTGATTGTGATGCATTTTTTACACTTGAAGAATTTCATAAAAATCTTTATTTTTATTCACAGCGACTAAATATGTCATAATTAATTTATTAAATTGCATGGAATATCAGAGAAGTTTTTTTGCCGGAGAAATGAAAAAGATTTCAATCTGTATAATGAAAATATTAATCATAAATAATTTAAATATTTACTAATTACAGTATGGCTATTTTCTTACCTTATCATCATTATTATTATTATTATGAATTTTGAATCAATATAAATAAATTCTTTAAAATCTAATTTTTTAATATCACTAATAATTGTGATTATTGTGTTTAATTGTTGCTCGAATTTCAAAAAAATACGTAAAATCGTTTCTCTTTTTTCATGATTCACGAATTCGGTTGAACATTTGCTTTTAAATCAACCAAAAGAAGAAATGTTTTTTGAAGTAAATAATTTTTATTGAAAAATACGTGGATTAAATATTTTTAATCGATATTTATGAATTAAAATACACACAATACTAATAGTACACTACAAAATACCAAAAATGTGAACCTCGAATTTATTTATTTTATCAATGATGATCTTATTTGCTTCGTGTCACAATTAATTACAGTATTTTTTTATTTATTTATTGCAATAAAGATGATTTTGCTAGATTCTCATAATATTGTAATAGAAGAAACTTTGACTCAACCAATTGTAGGGTAATTATAATTAATGAATTTTGCAAATAAGCTATTTAATAAATATTATATGGTAGACATCTTATTAATTATCCAGGTAAATTATTGCAAATTAGCCTTGAGCCTACAATCCTTGATATGACAGTGGTCGATTTTGATGGTGTCTACTATTACATATCTACTCCAAAATCAAAAGATGTAATAACATTTTCACTTTATATGCAATGTTACAAAGAACTTGTTAAATTTGGTGCTTATGACATGTTAAAAAAAGAATATGGTCAATACATTAGTTCTGAAATAGAGAATAATTATGATTTTACTTTGGAATTTGATTTACAAAAGTTACCAGCTGATAAAGGTAAAAAACATTTTTTGTATATAATTTTATTTTAATTTTTATAAAAAATTCTAATCAACAATTTTTCTCTCTCGGGACTTTTTAAAAATTAAGAGGAAAGGGTAGCATTAGTTAAAAAACTTTCATTGATTAAACGTAATCTTTTGGCACAACCATTTGAACGTGCATTTGAACAACAAACTCAATTCGAAGACCAAAAACAACAAAATCCAGATCCTGTTCTAATGCAAATTCATTATAGAGATCAAGAAGCTATTTATATCCAAGCTCGACATGACAGGGTAACTGTTATCTTCTCCACTTTGTTTAATGAAGAAACTGACAGTATCTGTGGAAAATTATTCTTGCAAGAATTCGTTGATGCTCGTCGTCGTATTGAACTTCAAAATGCTCCTCAAGTACTTTATTCCAATAAAGATCCTCCATTAGAAATCAGACATTTACCTGAACTACAAAGATTGAATAATAAAGAAAATGTTGGTTATGTAACGTTTGGTAAGTAATTATATTATTCACATACAAGAATGATAATATATAATAAACCAATTTTCTATCATTAATTATAATATTTCTTCTATATATATATATATATATATATATACATATATGTAAAAGTACTTTTCCCTAGACATTTTATCATAGGAGATGTAAGAGAAAAAACCATTTCTCAAATTCAATTATTCAGAGATTATCTTCATTATCACATCAAATGCGCAAAAGCCTACATGCATTCAAGAATGCGAGGACGTGTCCAAGAATTCTTGAAAGTATTGAATCGTGCAAAACCTGAACTAACAACTGCCGAGAAAAAACAAAAAAAGAATTTATAATTTAAATGAAGAATAGTGCTTGTTTTTGTAGAAGAGTAAAAATATTTTCACAAATATATTATATATGTAATATATAATGCATAATTTCTTTAATAAATAAATAAAATAAACAATTATTTTTTAGTTATTTAGAATGATGAGTTATATTTATATATAATATTTATTAATTTATTTATTTACTGTGTATATATATATATATATAAATATATAAATATTAGATGTTTCCTTCTATTGTTTTATAAAATTTAAAGCTATTATTCAAATATTTGTTTAATTAAAGAATAACCTTTACTTCATCTCTTTCTCGCGCATTCTTTTTTGTTTGAATCCATTCGTTCGTTTGTTTACTCATTCGCTCTTTTGGATTATCAGAAACTTATAAAAATCAAAGTGTGCATAAATATATATTGTAAATAACAACCAAGATTATCAAATAAAAATTAAACATTTTTATTTTTTAAAAAATCAAAAAGAATAAAATATTTTAGTTAGCATACATGCATACATATACAAGCACACACACGAATATTATTATTATTGTTCTTTTATAAGGTGTTCTTTAATCTTCTTTAGAACATTGTCATCCCTTGGCGTTATTAAAACTTGAGCTTTTCTAGAATTCAATTTCTTTTCTTTAAGATGTTGTTCTAGTAAGGCTCTACGTTGTGTTTCATCAAGCACTGGACATGGTAAAAAAGTTGGTGCGGCAACTGTGAATATTGCAAATAATGCCACTGTTGAAAACAATGTAAAAGTAACTTTAGATTTCTGTGCTGCTGTAAGCCTTTTGGTTGTATTTATGTTCATATTATTATTATTTTTAATTAATTAATTTTTTTTTTCGATTAAATAATCGTCCATTATTGGCTGTATCAATTTTCAAAAAATGAATTGAACATAAATAAATAATTAAATTATTACTATTGCTATTACGGCCATTTCCATATTACATATATATTAAAAAGTGTAATAAGGGATTAGTTGGAGATTGCAATTGCATTCAATCTTTTGGTTGGACTTTGTAAGAGTTTGCAATATTTATAGATTACACTTCTCTTCATGTTTTATTATTGTAGTGAGCAGATTTCCATTTATAAGATTTCCAAATAAATTTTTTCACGCAAATGTTATTGTTGCCGTTGTGTGTATGTGTGCATGTTCGTGTTATTATTATTATTGTTAGGATAGTTTTGACAGATAACTGCCATTTACAAGATTTGTTATATTGGTCTTTGGTCTTCTCGGTCTTCGGTTCCAAGTTTTGGAGCCGGTCTTTAACTGGTCTTATGTCAATGATTAATCTGGGGGTATCATCCTACTTCATGATAGACAAATTAAATATTAATATTAATGTTACTTTATAATCAATTCGTAAATAGAACATTTATGCAAATTTCTTGAAAGATTTAACTTTCTCCTAATGTAATGGCATCAGATGTAATAATGGCACATTAAAAGCAGTAGTGGCAGTGGAAGTAGCAGTAGAACAAGAATGAGATGACAGTGACAGCGGTAGTCGTAATATAGGAATAAACTCTTGTGTGTATTATATTTACTCATTAAATTTTGTTCACTCATAAGTTGGATTTTAAAACCACCATTCAATTCAGTTTTAAAAAGGAAGTCAATCCATAAAAAAAAAATAGTCACAAAATTTTTTTTTCATGGATTTTTTAATTTGATAGTTATGCTCAGAATTGCATTATGATCAAATTTGAGACAAGCAGAAAAGTAATATGGTTGTACTGCTTCCACGTGAACAGGGAAAATCAAACTTTTACTATCTACTATATATTATAAAATTAAAAATTTTATTATTATTTCTGCAATCATTATTATTAAAGTCCCGAAGCTCCAATTGCTCATCACAAAAAAGCTAAATTTTGAAATAATTAAATTAAAAAAAAAAGTATATCAAATAATTTATTAGTCTTGCACAAGGTTAATTAATGGCAGATAGAAATCAATTTATTTTATTGAAAAAAAACTTTATCATTGTAATAAAAATACCTGAATAATGGTTTTTTTTACAAGTCATTCATCCAAGGTTTCAAAGATTCCTCTAAATCATCATAACCATCCTCAAAAAATTTTTTAGTGATTTCCTCTTTATAATCTTTTGAATCTGTTTCACTCATTAATTTAGGTAAATTTAACTTATTGCATCTACGTGTTAATTCACCAAGCGTCATTTGAGGGTTGTTTTTAAACGTAGTAGTTGCTAGGGTTTGTATTCACTGATACCATGAATACCGTTAATGGGGATACACACTAATAAATCAGCAAAAAATTCCTTAAAAACACTTGATTTTAATAGTGTGTAACCCTTACGGTATCCGTGAATACAAACCCTAGTAGTTGCAGCAATTAAATTGTGAATAGAGCCTCCTAAACAACCGGATATTTCTTTTAGATCTTGTATATTATTAATATTATTATTTAGTAAACTTTGATTTATTTTGCTACTACTACTGCTATCGTCACCAATTGCAATATTATTATTATTATTATTAATTTTACTGCTTTTATTTCCAAGATTCTTAATGATGGGTGGTAAAGGTTTTAAGCTAAATTTATCACATTTCTTTTGCCATTTTTGTTCTTTTTTATTTACTGAACTACTTGGCATTGTTATTGTTGTAATGATGATAGTCGGCTAAAGATTTTTAAACGGCTAACATCACTATATTGTTGAATTGTTACTAACTCCCACCAGATCAAAACTATCACTAATTTTTTCTGTTGACTTATATGTTGACTTGTATGAATTAATATTAATGGTATTAATTCCCAGATCAAAACTATCAGTAATTTTTTCTGTTGACTTGTAGAATTATTATTAATGATATTAATTCCCAGATCAAAACTATCAGTAATTTTTTCTGTTGACTTTTATAATTATTATTAACAGTATTGATTCCTGATTGTTCTCTTTTATTATTGTTACGTGACATCTTTAAAAGAAAGAAAAAGAAGTTTGTGATTTGATCGACGCGTACACATTAATTATTTATCCTATTGGTTTTTTTTTTTTGGTAGGACAGACGCTAATTGATTGATTTATTTATTGACAGAGTCCAAGGTGACAAAACGTAAGTGTTGTTGTTTGGTTTGGTTTGGGTCTCCTAAAGAATACGTGTTAATAACCAACCAGAGGTACTTTTTTTACCTGTATTGATACGTATGAGGTGTCTTTTATTTTAGCTTATAAATATTTTAATTGGAATCAAAACGCGGAACAGAATTACAAGATTTTCATTGATAATATTTTGCTTTTCGTAATCAATATTAATATTAATATTATTATAATCACAAGATGTCAAGGCAGCATTGACTGTTGAAAAAGAAATAATTCGAAATGCAATGTTTGATTATCGGAAATTTGAAGCACCCACACCACCTTGAACACATTACAGTCATTCACACCTTCCTCATGTACAAAGGCTAATCTGACCTGATTGATCGACGATACAATGATGCAACAGAATTTCAAGGGTATGCGTGGCTTTGGAATTTACTGAGACCGCACCAATCGTCAATGATGTTTTCACTAATCTTCACAGATCAGAGATGGCCGCTGGCATGCTGGCCGAAAAGTTGCCTGCAACGATCCTACCTATACCTCCAGGATAAGAATGGCTCTGTGTCCAAGTTGCAACTCTGCTGATACTCCTATTGTGATGGTCACTATGATCACTGGAATCAAGGAGAAAGCTGTAAAATAAAATGGTTTGGATTTTGTTTGGTATGTTATAAATTAGTCATTTTCCCAAATTTTCTGCTTTCTTTAATTTTTACTTGACCAACTGAACTTGTTATTTAAATCAACTTTATTCTAGTAAGAGAGGGCGATAACACAAAGCAATCATCGCACAAGCACCAGCTATCACTGATCAATGCCCATATAGTAACAGCCAAGTCTGGTCTGAGGGGAAGATAAGGGAATGTTTTGTCCAAGGCCTTCCAGCATGTGGGGTATTTCAACTGTGGAAAAAAAATCCATGGTGCTGAAGTGTGTGAAAGCACCTGACTGCATGTTTGTAATAGGAAATTTTAATTAAATATGACACTGGTGATTAACATCAGGTTTATTATTCATAAGGAACCATAATTGATAATCAGGAAAAATAATTTATTCTTGTGAACCCCCAAGATCTGAGTAGACACACATTATTAAAAATTTCATTTATGCATAGACTTGATATTGTCACCGATTAAATTCGGGAGAGCGTATTTTAATTGGTGATAACAATTATTTTTGTTTTTGCGTGGATCAGAATGAATAGGGATCAACGAATTGATTTTGTTATTAGCGAATAATTTTGGTTAAAGAAGATAAAAATTTTAAATAAAATATTTCTATTTTATTTATTTAGTCTTATTTAGTCGAAACTAATTAACTTATGAGAAAGTTACTTTTACATTAGGTCGAAATCAAGTTCTTTACATATTAGCCCGAATTGCGCGATTCCGCTCGGTTTGGGCGATTCCGCTCAAATTGTGCGTTTTCGCTCAGATTGCGCGAATTCGTTCACTTTGTACCTGGGCGAATCCACACGTTTTGAGCGATTCCGCCCGTTCCGGGAGAATTGTCATTAATCTCTACTAAACAATGATGTGACCCGAAACTCTTTTGGCTTCCCGAAATAGTTTCAGGAGAAGAACCTAGTTTCTGTGAAAAATCCGAAACCTAAACTCCCTAAATTCCCGAAACCTAAACTCCCCCAGAAACTCCAGAAACTCCAGAAACCTAAACTCTCCCGAAACAACAAATAAAAAAATTTTTTTTTCTCCCATCTTATTATTGATTTATTAATTACATCTTGTTATAACCAACTTTATAAAATTAAATATATATTTTCTAATGTCTGATACAGATTTGTCTCCTAGTGAAGGTGCAGGTTTAAGACATTTGGCGGAAGACCATTATCTCAAGTTTGGGAACATTTTTTAAAAGGACCTGAAATTAAAAATAATAAAGGCCATTACAATGCTAAGTGCAATTACTGCTTGAAATATTTTGAAGTTGGATATCCGAATGTTCTTGAAAAGCATTTAGCAAGAGAATGTGTTGAGTGTGATGAGGAAATTCGTAAATATTATTTGAATTCGATAATTGAAAAGAGTAGGTCTAGAAACAATCAAAAAAAAGCTCAAGATTCTCATTATTCAACATCCAATAACAAAAATTTAAATAATCATCAAGTTTCTTTATCTGAATTCTATGAAAGTAAACCCTTACAAAAGAGAGAGAAGAAAGCATCAATAAATCTTTAATTCATACTTTTGTAATGGCTGGCATTCCATATAACACTATTGAGAACCCATATGTTGTAGATTTTTTAAAAAAATTACATCCAGCTTATCAACCATCAAATTGTAAAAAATTATCAATTAATTATTTAAATGATGAAGTGATTCATGTGAATAGAAAAATAGACCAGGATATTGAAAAAAATAAAAATAAGACTCTTGGTAAATATATATTTTTAACAATTTTATAATTGTTGATTAATAACCATATCCATAATCATATTTAGCTCTAGATGGGCGGTCCAATTCTAAGAACAAGTCAATCTGGAATTTTGTCATTATAACTCCTCAAAGAAAAAGTTATACATACAAGTTATGTGATTTTTCAGGAAGTTCTCATACTGGAGTTTTTTTGTCTGATCAAATTGAATCGATTATTTTAGAAATTGGTGTAGAAAAACTGTCAGCTATTGTGCTAATAATGTTAAACTTGCCAGAGAGTTAAAAACTACTAAATATTGAACATTAGTGTATTGCTCACTGTTTTAATCTTATAACAAAAGATTTACTAAAACATGAATTTGCGAAAACTTTAGTCTTCAAGTGCAAAAAAATTATCAATTTTTTTAAAAAATCATACTAAGCCAGCAATTTGCTTGAAAGCTACATTAAAACGTTAAATATTACTGGAGGAAGCCTAAAAAAGTACACTGAAACCAGATGGACCTCAATTTATGTATCCACAACTTCTATTATAAGATTGCAACCTGTATTTCAATTAGCAAGCAATGATGATAATTTGTAGTAAATTAGTAAATGCATTGTTTTAATCGATTTGTTTTATTTACTCTTTTATTTATTCAGATATTAAATGAGAATCCTGATATCATAACTAATGATGATGTTTTGAATATTTTAAATGGAAGAAATTTTTTTAAGAATTTAAAAAACTTAAATTTAATTCTAAAACCAATAAAAGAAGGGATTGAAATTCTAGAATCAGATAAAACAAATTTAGCTGACTGCTAATATCAACTTATAAAACTTGCTGCTTCAATAAAACTATACCAGGTCATTTTCATTGCAGTAATTGTAATTATTGTATAAGAAAATTTAATTCTAGGTGGCTTGAATTTAGCTCTGATGAATATTTGGTTGTCTATTTTTTGCACCCTGGATACAAAGGTTAGATATTTGTTAATATTAATGTTTGTAAATTAGGAATACTTATTTATTTATTATTTTTTTTTTAGGAACTGGTCTCAAAAAAGGTCACTTTAAAATAATTGTTGAATTCATGGTGAATCATTTCCAAAAATTAAAGAGATCTGTAAGAGAACAAAATATTTTATTGGAACAATTGAGAAATTATAAATTAAGAAATTCATCTTATAACTCACCTTTCAGTTTTGAAAGTGGTAATGTTTTAAATTGGTGGTATACATGTGAAAAATATCATTATTTGCAAGAATTTGCAATAAAATTATTTTCGGTGGTTCCACATTCAGCAACTTGTGAAAAGTCTTTTTCAATCTCAGATTGGTATTATGGAAAAAAAAGGCAAAATTTAGTTGAAAATACATTCCTATCATTTATCTAATACTGAGAAAGAATTAAAATATGTTGGTCAAAATATCTCAGATGAAGAATTGAAAAACTTAATATCAAATGCAAAGCTTTGGTTGGATGTAAGGTTGTGGGCGAAACCTCCTTGGTAATTGCTGAAACCACAGCAAAACTATATTAAATCTTATCAAAAATCCTGTTGAAACTATGCCAAAATGGCGAAACCTCAAAATGCAAAGCTCTGCCAAAACTCTAATAAACAATTAATGTGTAACCTGCCGAAACCCTGCTGATTGATTTCTGGATGAGTTTTGGCAAGCAACCTTAGTTGGATGGTGATGATTATCATTATGTGGAGGTGGAGGTGGAGAAT